GCGTCTTAATTATCATTATTTAACTTTTACTTTCAAATAATGGTGCTGTTGGAGGCTTTCCAGTTATTTTTTTGCCACATGCACCAATAAGAAACTCAACATGGATCTTGGCGAACTGTAATCTGACCTTTAGAGATCATCTTGTTGGCTAAATTATTTAAAAAAAAAACAGTTTTGGATTAATGATGGACCTGTCCAGAGTGTAACCTGCCTCCTGAACCGCTGAACATGGACACCAGCTGCCCTTCGACTGGGAAAGAAGCGAGTAAAAAAATTAATGGATTTTATTTATTTTTTCTCTTTTTGGATTTGGATTGATGAGACCTCTGAGCAGGTTTTCATCTATCCTTAATGAGCTCAGCTCCATAGGAAGTGCTAATGAATCTGTATCTTATTCATACCTGTTCTTGCCTGATCGTGGTTCAGCATTAATTGACTTTCTGTGTTTAATGACAAACATCAGCATCATCCTTTACTTAATGATTTTACTGGATTCTTAAAAATATAGCATTTACGTATATCACCAACGAGGAAATTCAGAGGGTTATTTAACTTCTGTTCTTTCATCCATTAAACCCTTTTCTAAACGACTCAGCCTCTTTTCATAGCCTGTAGCTCTGACCTGTTTCCGGTAAGATAAATTAGTTGTGTGATATTCTGTGCAGCGTTTTAATTTAGCTTAACACATTAAMCATTCAGCTATTGTTGCTGGCATAACATGTGTACATGTTTTATTAAAGAGAATAAAAAAGAAAAAGTTGGTTCACACATTTTGTTTTTATGATTGCTTCATCAGAAGGCTGGTTCCCCTCAGTTTTGTCTGGTGGCCGTCCGCTCAAACATTTAAATTTACCAAAACATTTTCTGTTTGGTTAAATTCTTGACAAGATATGAGAGTCAGTTTGTGTTATTATTTTGTGTCAGGTGCAGCCCTGTCTGGAGTCAGTGCATTGTGGTACTCTGGGTAAGAGGTTAATGTTATTTTTTGTGTATGCTTGTGTTTTGAAGGCTGTATCATGGCACGTCACACGATGCTGAGCTGCTTCCTACCCAGAGCATGCAGTCCTCTTTTCTGCTTGTGGGCCGTTGTTCTGCCCGTGGTCTCCTTAAACAGCCTGAACCACCACGAGCACCAGGACCATCGGCCCAAGCTGCTGCTTGTGTCCTTCGATGGCTTCCGATGGGACTACATCGACCGTGTCCCAACGCCTAACTTCCGCAGAATCATGGACTCGGGGGTGAAGGTTGAGTTCGTGGAGAACGTTTACATCACCAAGACCTACCCCAACCATTACAGCATGGTGACCGGACTGTACGCTGAGACGCACGGCATCGTGGCCAACGAGATGTACGACCCCACCCTGAACCTGTCCTTCTCCACGGAGGCCGACAGCTTGTATGAGTCGAGGTGGTGGGAGGAGGCCGTTCCTCTCTGGGTGACAGTTCAGAAAGACGGAGGGCGGAGCGGGGCGGCCATGTGGCCAGGGTCCGATGTGAAGATCCACGGCATGTTCCCCACTCGGTACCTCCAGTACAACGCGTCGATGTCCTTCGAATATAGGGTGGAACGGATCATTGAGTGGTTCTCCGCTCCTGAGGAGGAAGCAGTGGATTTTGGAGTTCTCTACTGGGAGGAGCCGGATGAGAGTGGGCACAACCTGGGTCCTCAGAGCCCCCTCATGGATGCAATCATTGCTGGGATTGACGAGAAGCTTGGCTTCCTCATGGACGAGCTAAAGAAGGCCGGGCTGTATGAGGAAGTAAACCTGATTGTGACCAGTGATCACGGGATGGCTCAGCTTTCCCCTGAGAAGATCATAGAACTGGATGAGTACGTGGACAGAGAACTGTACACCTGGGTGGACAAGAGTCCGGTGGTGGGAATCCTGCCTAGAGAAGGTAAGACTTTGAGGAAATACATTTGTTTTTCAAAAAAAGACTATTAAACACGGTGGCATTCAATCCAATGCTTTAAAGGGGCAATATCATGTAAAAATCAACTTTTTTGAGTTTTAYATCATGTTATAATGTTATACTCTCATAAAAAACATGCCCAAAGCCTTGCTTTGACTCATTCATGCATGTTTGAGAAATCCTGCAGCGTTTTTAGGAAGCCATGCTGAGGAGCAAAACGACAGGTGGAGACCAGAAACGCCCCTGGGATGTGTCCTTTTGGGACTAGCTCCTCTGGGCTGTGTCTCCAAGCCGAGCTTCCTCATCACGGAGCCAACCTCCCCACCCCCCGCCCATGACTCCTGCAGGCTCTCGGCAGTAACAGAGCAAACAACGAGTGAAACTGAAAGTGAAAYTGAAACTGTCTGCTGAGCTCTTAACACTACCTCTCACTCAGTGAAGCTCTTTTCAGATTCAAAATACCTTTGAGGAAATGTATTTTCAGATGCCAAGTAAACTGCATCATAGCACCCGCCGCCCCACCCCCTGCGCTGAAATGGCGGGACAGAAGCGGAAGGAGGTTCTTAAAGAGACAGAGGCCAATTTCAAGACATTTAGAAGATGAAGTGTTTAGAAG